AGCTATATTTATAAGACATTGCTAGTGGTATTTATATCGTTTATCCGTTAAACAAATAACTGTAAAATTAAAAAATTTTTTTAAAATAAATAAATTTTAGAAGAGAGATAATATTGAATTCGAATTATTTACGAAGTTGTTTATAATTATCAATATCCATAAATTAAGGGGCAATTCGAGAAATCCTATCGATATCAAGTCATTCTTTATTTATCATTCAAACATTTCATTCTTTATAATGAAATGATTATCGCGGTCTCGCGTTGCTTATAATTAATACAGACTTATACTTTCATAATTGATTCGAAAATGATGATGAATAATTGGAAATCTTGTGAGTATAAAAGAGTCAGCCCGGGCATCGGAATGTTAATGACGATCGGCTCAGTACGTAGACGTTCTACAGCGATTCTCTCATTGCAATTAACGTTCAGCGAATGCGCCGTGTGTGCGTGCGTGCGTGCGTGCGTGTGTGTTTGCGAGTGCGTGCGCGCCTGAATTCAGATGGCCTGAGAGTAGAAAGAGAGTAAACGATAATCGACGCATAAATATTTACTTCGTATAAACATAACTTTATCATTATTTACATCTACAATATCGATTACCGAATTCAAAAATACGCACACATGTTTAGCGATGACGTGAGCGGCGAGGGGAGAGAGAAGAGGCGAGGCCATGATGTTGTATAAGAGAAATGGACGGTTGTAATTTCGACCTAATGCCCGATCATAATGAGCACGCCTATGTAAACACGCCTGTGATATATATTTTATAATTTACTTAATTAGCTGAGAATTGCTTGAAAATTTATGATAAATAAATTATTTCTTAACGACTAAGTTATATTAATTATATGATTTTTTTATCATGTTACATTCATATTAACGATAATTTTATTGTATTATTATTTTTTTTTTTTTTAAATTTTTAATACATTATTATTTCAGCGTGCACGTTTTCTTAATTGTAAACCAATAATTATTAAAGTTTATTATTAATAATGAATGATGAGCTAATTAATAATCACCGGTACTCGAGAAATTTATAAAATGAGAAGCTCGTTCCAAGGAATCGTAATGTCGTAATGTGATGCATTATAGCGCAGTGAAATAGTTGAGATTTTATTTGATTGTGAAAAATTCTTAAATAATTTACAATTTCAGCAAAGTAAAATCTTATCTGTAATAAAATGTCATTATTTTTTTATTGTCTTGTTACGTAGAGTCGCAAAATATGATACTGATTAATAATAAATAAATATATTTTTCTGTAATTTTCATACATTTTAATCCATGCATGTGGATATTTATGTGTGTAGAGTAATTATATTCGTACAATTATATTTAACTTTTTAAGAATTTAAAAAATATTTCTGTACACTCTGTTTACTCTAATTTACGCTTCCTCTTACAATATTAATAATTATGAAGCTACTCAATACTTTAACTTTATTTCGCATGTTTTTGTCTAATTATCATACGGTGATAAAAGTAATATATCGTTGTTTTAAGTAAATAAATTAGAATTTAAGGTTCAACGATGAAGGAAAAACGAATCTTTTCTCTGAGTTTTTTATGTAAAGTTGCGAAATACTTTGAATGTCAATTGAACTTATACTCTAATTATCACCAAACTTCGTTTTATCATCATAATGCTGTATATGAATGTAAGCATGTGTGCTCATCTACTTTTATCGCTTCTTGCAAGCTTTTAAAGGTACATGACGGTGGATATTAAGTGAATAATTTTCTACTGTATTTTAAATTTGAATCGAAAGAATTTTAAAATATATATCAGAAATAAGATTTAAAGAAAAATACGGATTCAGTATCGGAGCATAAATATTATTTTATGTACACGTTTATTTTCCATAGCAACAAATAAGTGGTAATAGTTTGCCTACATTTCCATATTAAAACAGACCCCGTAAAATTACTCGCAACATTATTGAAATTTAAGTATACATTAGCTTTATGTATACGTAATGTTTCAAGATAGATCTTCCATCGTATAAGTACAATATTATTTATTTATGAAAGAATATTATCGCGCTAAATGGCAGATGTTCGGGAAGTGCTATTTAATAATGCATATTTCAGACTTTTTAGTTTCTAATTACAATGAACGTGTATTTTAGAAAATTTAATAAATTAATAATTCTCCATTTTTATCATTTTTAGTAAAAATAACGTGCCTTCGCCTCCCATAGATGATTATAAAATATTCTTTTGTTATTGACGATGAAACATAATTATTGTTCATGTCGTAAGTGACTCATTTGTCAGATGTGCATATTCTGCTTTTTTATATATTTACGAGTGACTATTCGGATTTTTTTCTTCCCAATATTCTAAATAGTTAATAATGCTTATATTATTTTTTTTCTTCAATTATAAGCATAATATAAAAGCACTAAAACAACGTTTAAAGTAATTACGGTGCTCGACTCTGGCATTTCAAATAACAAAATCTCATGGTAGAATAATTAATAATATCGTAGTGTCAATTAATTATTAAATACATTATAGTTAATTATGCAATAATAAGCATAGGATTAATCGCTCAATAATGATTGCTTTTCGCCATAGAATTCAACTCTTAAATTCTTCATCAGAGAATTTAACCCTTAAACTCTTCACTAAAAAAATCAACCCTTACATTACTGCGGTAGTTTTAGCTTAATCGATCTGAAAAATGTATTATCGTATAATATATTTGTAGAATTACTGATTATAATTAAGAATATTCTTTAGAATAAGAAGAAAATATATATAGAAATATCATTATTTTTTTCTGATTTAAACATTATCTTGAATTTAATTAATTTAATCTTACGCCGGTGTAGATACCAATCGCCTAGTTTCCAGGTACTGTATATCGGCTTACAGATGTATCCATACACAGAATTGACGTGAGCAAAGAGAGAGAGAGAGAGAGAGAGAGAGAGAGAGAGAGAAAAGAAAGAAGGGAAAAACCCGTCAGGTTCTCGAATGCTTTATGAATTTCGAATGCTGCTTGTATGTATGTGCTTGTGATATTGCATTGGATGACTGGATGTCTGCAGCATATGCAAGGACAATCGCCCTTGTGTTACTTAGACGAAAAATAAAATGATAGAGAGAAAGAGTGAGTGAAAGAGAGAGAGAGAGAGAGAGAGAGAGAGAGCGTGTGCGCGCGCGCGCGTGTGTGTGTGTGTGTGTGGCGTTCTGTATACTCACAAAAACCTTGCCATGTTCTCTGCCAGACGGGTCGAGTGCTCTTAGAAAATATTGATTATTTTCGCACATTCTGCACAAGCTTCTTCTTGCTTTGTACATGCTCCATCTATTTTCTTTCTTTCTCTTCCCGCCCGCCCGCCCTCCCACCTCGCTTTCTATGTTCATTTCTTCATAGCCTCACACACTCTTTATACACCTAGTCTACATGTTTTTATTGTATTTTTATTTTACTTTTAAAGTCATATTTTTAGGACGTTGATCAGATATTTTACTTTCAATGTTATTTTTATTCGATTCGATGACTTAGGAATACAATAAATTGATATTTAAATATAAAATCTTATCTTTTTTGTAAATAAAATTAATTTATTAATAGCATTCATTTATATAAGTTACTCGCTCGTCGTACTGCACTCGCTACCAATTTTTATTTCAATTCAGTCATTTCAAATAAAAAAATAAGTATTGATAAATCCTTATTTAAAATTCTCCTTTATTTAAAATTAAAATCAACAATTTGCAAACTTCAATGTCAATTTTTCTCGTGCATTTATAAGTATGTAAATTTTTTGTTCAATAAAAATCTCTATCAATGCTTACTTGATATATCTCTTTACTTTGGACGTTTCAATTCATATTGCATAGAGTAATTCATTACAAATTTAAGGAACACGAAAGTAATATTTTTTAATACAAAATATAATTATCTATTTCGTGCTACTTTTTTTTTTTTTTTTTAAAGGTTGTGGTAGCACATATGATTACGGTACTGAATTTAGCAAGCAACATTTGCGCGTCATGCAGTATGAACTTATTTATTAAATGCATAAGGTTAAAATTATCAAATTTTTTATGTCGATAATGCTGATGATCATTTAAGATTATTCCATATTCAAGACTCGATGTTTTACAAACTCTAATTATAATGAATGCCAATATCGCTATTAACTAATGACTAATATTTTAACAAAATGTACAAATAATAATCATTTTGATTTAGTAAAGCGAATGTATTAGACACAGTTTTACATGAATTCGCATTTAATCGTATAACTATTGTATTGGAATATTTCGGGTGTAAGTTGTCATTATGGTTGCAATAATTTAAAAACCGATTACCCCACGCGTGACGATGACTAAATAAATAAATCGAAGGAGAGAGCACTGCATGTTTCTCGATGCAATTGGCGATAGAAAATTGATGCACACGGCTATCGATCTGCATGTTGGCATTTGTCATTGACATTCGATCGTTAGTCATTTTCCCTTGCACTAAGAACCGAATCGCTCTCTTTTTATACGATGGTACGACCTGTCCTTATAATATCATTTTTACATTTATAATCATGAGGATGATCATATTTCTACGAGCTCGTGAATCTTTGATCAGAATGAATGATTTTTCCTCCATATGACCCGGAGAAACAATTGTTGGATTATATTTTAAAAAAGAAAAAATATTGAAGTCTAATGGTAGAAAAAAACAGTCTAATCGAAAAGAAAAGCACGAAACAATTAAGCAGATAATTGCATTAGTTGTCAGTCAAAGCAACGCGCAAATTATATGAATTAATCATTTTTGCAATTCCTATAAAATTCGACAAGATAATCGAAGCTTTAGATTGAGACAATAAATATTAAATACACATTTGTAATAACGAATAAACCGACATTTGTTATCTATATATCTTAGATAATATTTTTAATGTTAATTGCCGAAATAATTTTATGCATGCGGCATGTATTAGTGTAATCAACGAATCTAATATACAAAATTTTCAGGTAAAAATAAAGATGCCGGAAGAACGGAAAGCCAGTTTTGGTCCAATGGAAACGGTGACGGAAAATGGAACGAGTTCGCCAAACAAGAGTCCTCTCAATAAGGGTAAATTAGTCCTTGCGAGGGTCACTCTCTTGGATGGTAGTATTAAAGACTTTAATATCGAAGTAAGTGAGCCATTTATTATTTAACTATAAAAGCCATTGAAAGCTCTATGACATTATTGTTATTGTGAATCAATTTTATTTATTTTTTTTTTTTTTTTTTTTTTTGAGCGAATGGAAATAATGTTCGAAGTGGTACCGAAGATTTTAGTGATTTAGCATATTATAGATATTATACATGGAATAATAGTAAGAGCGAAGCAAAGTTTTGCAATGAATTAGATATGTATGCATCTAGTATATTTAAAATTAAATATAAATATAAGGAAATTATATTGTGATGGGTGTAGAGCTGTTTAAATCGATGGGTCAACTCAACCCGAGATATTATTAATGTTAATTTTGCTCAACCTTGAGTAGTTTAAATTTAATATAATAGTTAGTGATTGAAATTCATTTAGAATGATAAAGCTAAACGAGTAAATTATGAAATATTTAGCTGAAAATCTTAAATCTGAATTATTGATCAGAAATGATAAGTATTAGTATTAAGAATATTTTGCGTGCATCGTTGTGACGCGTAATTAAGTAAATTAATCGCATTCCATGCTAATAGATAATGATTGCGTCGCGTATTTTATAATTTAACTTATTGCTTTCTTGGACATTATGAAAATAAAATACTATGAATTACCTTGTAGAGAAAGGCCAAAGGTCAAGAACTTTTAGAGAGAGTGTGTCAAAGCATGAATCTTCTTGAAAAGGATTATTTTGGATTAATTTACGAAGATAAATATGATCCAAGAAATTGGCTGGACTTACAAAGGAGAATCTCAAAGTTCCTCAAAAGTTTGTATTAAATTATTTACTTAATTTGGTGGAATATAAAGTTAAAATATTGATTATGTAAAGAAGTAATAGTTTTTTTTTTTTTTTTTTTTTTTTTTTTTAAAGAATTTATTTATCAAGGGATTATTAATTAAATCGTTACGGAATAATAATTTTATTTTTAAATCTCTGCAGGCGAACCATGGAAATTCAATTTCGAAGTGAAGTTCTATCCAACCGATCCAGCTCAATTACAAGAAGATATTACACGTTATCAGTTGTGCCTGCAAATTAGAAATGATATAATCACCGGTCGATTACCTTGTTCTTTTGTCACGCACGCTCTTCTTGGTTCTTATCTAGTACAATCGGAAGTTGGTGATTATGATTCGGAAGAACACGGTAAAACTTATTTGAGAGATTTCAAATTTGCTCCAAATCAAACTCCGGAATTAGTTGAGAAGGTGATGGATCTCCACAAAACACACAAGTAAATTATTTTTTTTTTATATTATCTCATGCCTTAATTTATCTCATATTATTTAAAGAATATTGACAAATAATATTTAAATTTGTTGAATTTTGATGAAAATAAATAAGTTATATATATATAGTTAGATATATAATTGTAAAATACTTTATTATTATATCAGAGATTGAGATTCACATCAATTTTAATGAAGCTATATAGAATTATAATAATATATTAATCTTTATATAAAGCATTCACAAGGACGATGAATATTTGTTGAATAATAGCCATTAGCCTATCGCTTCCGACAACATTAGTACATTTGCTGTACTTACTTACAGAGGTCAGACACCTGCAGAAGCCGAATTACATTACCTTGAGAATGCAAAGAAACTAGCAATGTATGGCATTGACCTTCATCCAGCTAAAGATTCCGAAGGTGTAGATATTACTCTAGGAGTTTGTTCGACTGGTTTATCGGTTTACAGGGATAGGCTTAGAATCAACAGGTTCGCATGGCCAAAGATTTTAAAGATATCCTACAAAAGGCATAATTTCTACATCAAAATTAGACCTGGCGAGTTTGAGCAGTTTGAGTCAACTATTGGATTTAAATTAGGGAATCATAGGGCGGCCAAGAAACTTTGGAAAACATGCGTCGAGCATCATACATTCTTTAGGTAAATTTAACTCTATAATGTAATTCGTAGAGGAAATCGTATCTTACGACATTATTCCGTCTTGATAATGATAATATTCATTTAGGCTCATGAGCCCCGAGCCTGTAAAGAAAGTTGGACTATTGCCTCATTTAGGATCGAATTTCCGATATTCGGGTCGAACGCATTACGAAACGAAGAAGACGCCGATCGAACGACAACCTCCGAAATTTGAAAGATTCCTCAGCGGACGAAGATTAACGTCACGAAGTATGGATAGTAAGTATAATATTTTGCTTCGCATTTCCATATTAGAAATATGTATTAGATGTAGTCATATCGAGGAAATTTGTACATTAACATTGAAATAGGTTCGTCCCAACCTGTGCTTTCAGCCTTAGGTGCATCGAATACGCTTGAACCTTATAGTTCGGAGCCGAGTAAGAGACACACAATGAGTTATGAACCGGAAGCGTTACCGGCGATGGAGCACATTGATCAAAGACCAAGTCCCATTAAAAAGCATAAGGAAAAGGTATATAACTTATTACGGCATTTTTATTTTTTATTCAATACCAAAGGGAAGGGAGATAACAATTTTGATAAAGTTTTTACGCGACGGTATAAGAAAATTTCTAAACACCAATTGGCTCACTTTCGAAATTTATTAGTTTAATCATTACTGTACATGCAAATCCCATGAATAATAATTCATTCATCATTCAGTTATAAGCACTACGGATTCTTATCGCAGGTAATAAACATAAGAGAGAGAGAGAGAGAGAGAGAGAGAGAGAGAGAGAGAGAGAGAGACAAAAAAAAAGAAATAAAAGAAAAAACGACTATTATTATTTGTATAGGAAATATACGATTTTTCATTTCTCTACCTTTAATTGTCTCATTCGCTTATAAATATTACGTAAGCTTTATAAATCTTCGATGAAAGCTTTATAAAGCGATGAGAATGCGATACAATGTACGCAAGAATTTATCAATCTCATTGACGACGTTGCCTGTGAAATCTGTAAGGCTTTTTAGCTATTTATAACAAACTGATGCATAACTAACAATTAATAGCTCACGCGAAAAACAAGCGCCGGAACTACGTCGGCCAGCAGTGCAAGTAGCCTGGAGGGAGAATACGATGCTGACGGAAAGGTATAGAAGAGAACTAGAGATCATCGAATCTCTCCCATCATGCACCAAACCATCATCTCGTAATACATACAAACCCATAGTTGAGCGAACCATTTGGTGTTTTATAATTTTTTTTTTTTTTTTTTTTTTTTTTTTTGAAAGCATGATCCAATGTTCTTTCTCTTTTCTGTTCGTTACTTAAGATATTAGTTCCATGTTATTGCAATACACTTTTGTATTCGTTTGTTGTTCGGCAGCGTGTACACGTTGCTTTCAATTTCTATTGTATATTTGTGTATACGAATAACGCTTCTTTGCTCGGCATTATCATTATTATTGGCTCTGTAATTGGCCCGAATTTACATGTTATTCGGATGCTTTGTAAACACGAGCGATACATTCGTACTACAAATAGGCGATAAGATTTTTTTTTTCTTCATTTTTGTTCAATTTGCACAACAATTAAACGGTTAAGGCATTATTGACGGGCCAAGATGTGATGTTAACGCCACGGTTACTTCATATTGGTAGACGTAATTTACGATGAATAAATTAGGTGTTTTTTTTATTTTAAAAATTGTATTTGTGTTGTAAATATTGCGAAAGCCATAGTGTCATTTGATAATATAAATGCTACAGCTGAGCCTGTGATATCGTATACGCAAATGATGAAAGGCCGTAGACTGACTATTTTATCTGTGATGCATGTAAGCACGGCATACACGTTATTTGAATAAATCATGTATCACATGCATATATTACATACATAACATAGAAATGTAAGATATACAATAGATAAAAATAGTGAGAAGTAGTTTGCTTAGCGCTTGTTGCATGAAGCGACGTGTGATTGTGAATTACTTTGAATTGTAGAAACCGGTCGGAGGGATTGCGGTCCTACCGCCCGGTGGTATTTCCAAGAAGAAGAAGGACATTAAAAATGAAAATGAAAAGGAAAACCATAATGATCTCAACAAATCCGATGTAATAAATGAGAGCTCGCAACTCGAGAGCATTGACGAAAAGTTTTCGCCCGCGAAAAAGGATTTGAAAAAGAAAGATAAGAAAAGCGAAAAGACACCCGTCAAGTCTGACAAACCAGAGAAGGAAAAGAGAGAAAGGGTCAAGGTAAGTTAAATCGAAGGCGACATACGAGTGGTGTAGGTGTGTTGTCTCGTCGATAAAGTAGAGTCAATATCGTCTCACTTCGATTGCAGTAAAGTCGTAATATAACTTTGCAGGCGTGTTACGTGCTGTACTTATTTTATACACATTGACAACTTAAACATAACGAAAAACGAAGATTTTTCCAATTAATAAATAATAACAACGTTGAAAATTGGCGTCTTTACTTCTCAAATCCATTATCGATCACTGTTCAGGGAAGATTGTCCGTTTTATGTCTCTCTCCCCCTTTTTTTTTTTAACCATTTCTTTTTTGTTTTTTGAATTTTCATACGAAGCCAAAATTCCTTAAAATTGCCATGCTAAATTACAATTTACGTTGTTATTTTATTTTTTCTTTATTAATTACAATGAACCACGCACACACACGCTCGCGAAAACAATTATAAAAATTAGATAAATTTATATAATGTTAATTTCCGCATAAGCAAATTACGAAAAATCACCATACACGCATCAAAATATCATTTATATATTTATACAAAAATATTATTTATACACAACATGTGTCTCCAAACGCTCCTCATTCTTAAGAGAGCAACAATAAAAAAAAAATGTAATAATTCATATTTTTGTTTCCTTAAAATCAACACATCAGAAATCATGTACCATCTTATACGTGTAAAAATATTAATTTAATTTTTTAATTTTTGAGCTTTTTAATCATTGATCTATGAACGAAAAAATAAACAAAATTTAATTTGTTTAAATCTTCTTCAATTCTTTAAGTCACTCGCTTCGCAATGCCTATACAATGTTTTGTAAATGTTTACGGTACACAATTTCATTTTTTTTTCTTCTTTTTTTTTTCTTTTTTTTATACTAATATTATTCTCCGATAATAAATATTTTATGAAATGCATCATAGATGCGAAATCTTTTTATCAAATAATGTATTTTATTGAATATTTTATATATTCGCGTATTGTAATTCTGTTAAATAGAGGCTTTTACGGTATAACTGACGTATCCTTCAAAATTTAAATAAAATTTTCTATTATTAGATTTAACGTTATGGTTGTACTTGGCATAATATGCTTTGTTATTAAATCGACTAAATAGATTTTGATATTCTTATTGTTTCGATGCTTTATTTCCATGTGTTTATAACTTAATTAATAGTTGTACGAGTGATCGATTGATTAAATAATGTTTCTTAGCGATACGTTCTCATGCTGATTTAGTGAATAAACGAGAAACTGTTGCTCCTCTTCATCATTTTTAATTAAACAAGAATACGAACGAAGCTGTGATTTTCTTATGTGAAATTGATCCAGAGAGATGTTAAAGTAATTTGAAAAAATAAGTTGTTGCTCTCTTGAAATGATTTTTATACGTTTTAGTTTAATAACGACACGCTCATTAATTGCAACTTTTAATGACTAAAAAATTCATTTAATAAGCGAGGAAGCTTTAGCATCAATTTAATTGTAACTTCAATTAGCGAATATTTTCTAATTGCTCTTATTAATCGGTCGGAATTAGTGTACTTAATTTTATGTAAATTTATTTAAAATTTCACGCGTTTTATGTAAATTCGCGTGTACTTTATTTCATTTAATATTTTACTGAAAAGATCGTTAAAAAGAGTACGCATTGTGTATAGCAAGATTTTTCCAAACAAAAGCGACGGTATGCGAATTAAGGTCTACCTTAATTTAATTTTGAAATGCAATGTATATTTTAAGTTTAAGCCTCTCTCTCTCTCTCTCTCTCTCTCTATCTATCTATCTATCTCTATCTATCTATCTATCTATCTATCTATCTATCTATCTATCTATCTATCTATCTATCTATCTATCCGTATCTATCTATCTATCTATCTATCTATCTATCTATCTCTCTATCTTTACCTTTACAATTAAGTCCTCTGTTCCCTCTCTTATAATAACCAACACAACGCGAACATAATACATCTTAATAAAAATAATCTTTCAATAGTTTTCTAAAGCACAATGACACACAGCTTTCTGCCTCCACAAGTCCTTCAGAAATCCTACTTAAAAAAAAAAAAAAATACACAGCCATTAATTTCTTCAATCACTACTTACCATATATTAAAAAAAAAAAAAAAAAAAAAAATACAAACATTAATTTTCTTTCTTTTCATTTGTACTTATTTTCGCCCATGTAAAGAGTCCAGTCAGTGGTTTTGGACTGTTCAGTAAGCGAGACAAGGACGACAAGCAGAAGAAACAAAATAAAAACAAGGAGCTTAATGACTCAAAGGACAAAGGCGATCTCGAGTCGGACTTGTCCATCTCCGAAAAGCTTAAAAAGAGTCCCGATGACGAGAAGTCTGACGCTGAAAAGACGATACCGAGCGACCCGGACAAATTAGCTTTCACCAAGCCATACGAGTACGAGGAACGCGAGAGCTCACCAACGAAAAAACGCTTCACGCCACAGGGTTTCAGCTACGAGGACAAGTCAGCTACGGCCAAACCGCGGGACCAGCAATCACCGACCTCCGGTAGTAAAAAAGCTACCGGCCTAGCTTTTAATTACGCTCCCGGGGAAAAGAAAAACGTGGAGGAGCAAGCCGAGAAAAGAAAGACGAAAGAGCCCGAGGAGAAGTCGGGGCCAATCGCCGGGGCAAATTTGCCACCTTCAAGCCTCAAAACGCCGGGTATAAATTACGTCGAATCCGCGAGATTAAAGGAGCAACAGAAGGGTCTCGGTCAGCCGACTGTCGCCCCGTCCGTAGTGACGAAACCCCTCGTTCAACCGCCAGCGCCGCCCACGACAGTCCCGGGTAAAGACGCCAAGAACGCCTCGGCGTTACTTATTAAAAACGAGTCGCGGAGCCAGCCATCCCCCCCGCCTCCGGCTTTGGCTGCTATTGACAAATCCGCCACGGATTCGTATTACCACGTGCTACCACTGCCCGATGGCTCTCAAGTAATCGGAGGGCTCGTCTTTACCAAGGACGGCAAGGCCCTCGATCAGAGCAATCTTGGTCCGGATGGTGCTCGCGTCGTAGACGGCAAACTCTGCTCCAAGGACGGAAAGCCCATTAGAAAAGCCGATTTTGGACCTCAGGGTACGCACATTAGCAATGGTATCGTTACGGGGAAGGACGGCAAGCCCGTGTATCAAGAGTTCCTCGGCACCGACGACAATTCCATAAAGAACGGAATCCTTTACGGTGCGGATGGACGACCTCTTAATCGACGCGCCCTCGGGCCCGATCACTCGCTCGTAAAGGATGGCAAGATCGTGTCTAAGAACGGCAAGCCTCTGCAGTACAACAAACTCGGCGCTGATGGCACGTACGTAAAGGAGGGCCTGATATTTGCTCAGGACGGTAGACCGCTGACTCAGGGCTCGTACAGCGCCGATGGTAATTACATAGTCGGCGGAGTCGTCTGCAAGGGCGATGGCAAGCCCCTCGAGCAGATCGCTCTGTTGCCCGACTCGACCTACATTAACGATGGCTTGATCTATGGCCGAGATGGCAAACCCCTTGCCAGTGGGGATCTCGGCCACGAAGGCCACTACATTACCGAGGGCAAAGTGTACGCCAAGGACGGCAAGCCCGTGAAGCAGGTGAGCTTCAGTTCCGACGGCTCGATAATCAAGGATGGCTTGTTGTACGGCAAGGATGGCAGGCTCTTGAACCAAGGCTCGCTGTTGCCTAGTGGTGGCCACTTGTTGCACGGCAAGATCGTTGGAAAAGACGGGAAGTCCATTAAGCACGCGTTTTACAAGCCCGACGGGAGCTTCGTCAAAGACGGCGTGATATACGCCAAGGATGGACGGACACTGAATCAGATACCGTTGATAGTGGAGGGGGCGTACGTTAAGGCCGGGATGCTGTACGACCGGAACGGCGAGCCGTTGAATCAAACTATCTTCAAGCCCGACGAGACGAGCATTAAGGATGGCGTGATCATCGATTCGAGGGGCTTGCCCCTTAAGCAGGGAAGCCTCGGTCACGATGGCCTGACGATTAAGGATGGCACGATCGTTGACAGAGAGGGTAAGCCGGCGAAGCAGGAGCCCCTCGGCTCGAACGGCAATTACGCTAAGAAGGGTCTCGCTCACACCAAATCCGGAAAGCTACTTAATCAGGACTCGCTAATGCCGGAAGGTATGATGATCAAAGATGGCAAGATACAGACGAGAGATGGCAAGCCCATCAAGTTGGCGTTCTTCAGGCCCGATGGTAGCTACGTGAAGGACGGTCTGCTTTATGGTCAGGATGGCAAGCTCCTGAATCTCTGCTCCAGCCTCCCGGAGGACAGCTACATTGCTAACGGCGTAATATTTAGCCACTCGGGGCAGCCGCTGGATCGCGATGTTTTTGGCTCGGATGGCTCTTACGTGGCCGGTGGACTGGTGCACGATAAAGACGGCAGAATCGTCGTCGAGGGCGCATTCGGGCCCGATGGCAATAAGATCAGGCACGGCCTTATCATTGGGAGAGACGGGAAGTTGCTGACGCAGGACGATAACGGGCCGGACGGCTTGGCCATCAAAGACGGCAAGATCGTGGACTCGCAGGGCCAACCGAAGAACCAAGCGTCGCTATTACCCGATGGTTGTTACATAAGAAACGGCGTCGTCTACGACGTAAACGAGCGACCGCTAAGACAGGGCGCCTTCCGAACCAACGAGACTTACGTGAGGGACGGCTTGATTTACGGATGGGGCGGTCAGCTACTGAACGCGGGCACGGGTTTGCCAATCGGATATTACGTACACGAGGGGCGCCTCTATGGGAAAGACGAGCAGCCACTGAATCACAGCTCGTTCGGCACCGAGGACGGCTACATTCAAAACGGCTTCATCTACGGCAAGAGCATGAAGCCGCTGAGGCGAGGAACGTTTACCGACGATGGCAGCTACATCCAAGGGGGCTCGATCTACGGGCCCGACCGTAAGCCCCTCAATAAAAAATTGACGACTCTCGTCAACATATACTATCGATACGGGCTCGTATGCGACAAGGATGGCAAGCCCGTGAAGGAGGCGATATTCAACGACGGCGGCACGACCATTAAGAACGGAAGGATTTACGATCGGAGCGGACGAACCTTGACGCAGACTCGTGCCAATCCTGACGGGACCATCGCCAAGAACGGCCTAATGCTGAGCCCCGATAGGAAGCCGCTTTTACGGGGGCCTCTGGGCCCCGAGACATCCTACGTAAAGAGCGGCAGGGTGTACGACGAGAGAGGCCAGCCACTCACGCAGGAGGCGTTCGGGCCCGAAGGCTTGAAGGTCCTTCAGGGTGTCGTGGTAGACGAGGCCGGCAAGCCCTTGAAGAGCGGAGCCTTTGACGGCGAGGGCAGCCTCGTGAAGGACGGGATAGTGTTGTCGGCACTGGGCAAGCCTCTCGACAAACATTACACGACCGTGGTCGTGACACTCGTGAAAAAGGGTTTGATATGCAACAGAGCCGGCGTACCTTTGGCAAACGGCACGCTCCCGGACGACGAAGGCGGCGGCTACATTAAGGACGGCAAGATTTATGAAAAGAGCGGAAAGCTGAGAAGCCAAGAGCCCCACGACGACACTGGCGTATTCATAAAGAACGGGGTGCTGTACGCAAGCGGTGGTCAACCGCTCGATAAAGAGAATGTCAATTTAGGCGATTTCAAGGGCACGGCGACGAAACTGAACGTACCGAAGCTAAAGAAGACGGCGATGCCCGTCAGCGCGCCGACGATCGTCAAGTCAACGACGAAGCAGTCGATGATTAAGGATCAAGAGGGTGTGAGGCAAAACGTCGAGCAAAGGGTCGAGGACCTGACACCTGGTGGAACTGGACAGGTTACCGTTTCAACGCATACCAACAAGGTGACATAGCGAAAAGAGCCATAACGCCTTTCATTTCGAGATTTCTACTCGAGGACGTTAATTAATCGGCTTGGCTGATAATTAGCGAGTATTTAGGTACGAATTAGGGACATAGCCATGGTAAGGCACCATCGTCAAGCCCATCGTAGCCTAGGTAATTAAATCGTCGTTTCGTGATTGTGGAACGGCTATGTTTAACGCGACGCGAGGGTACGATCCAAGCCGATGCCTAAAGAGCTTCGCTCGCGCGAAATGCCGCTTAAGCGCGCGAATCGCTTGCGCGCGACTTGCGCATAACACCGGGTGCAAGGTGTCCCGTCGCCTTGGCAAGCAGTTTCGCGTTTATTTGAGCTCGCGATACTTCTCGCTTAGGTGCGCCTCGACGCCAGCAGCTGCGTTAAATCAGCCAAGCTAAGTAAAATAATAAGACGACCAAGGCAGATGCGCCCTTTAGTGCGACAGCCCTTGAAGATTTTGTCGAAACGTTGTCGATAGAAATAATAAATACATTCAAGCATATTGCATCTATAGACGAGCATTTACATGTAGATTTGTTATTAATTACTTTACCGCTTGGGAATGTCTTGAGAGAGTACTTGTTGGTTGCTTTTTTTCTCTCTCTTCTTCGTAAAATCATGCTTATTTTATCGTAAAGAATTGTATGTAAAATAGTTGAATAGAGTCCGCTGATATTGATTATTATTGATAAAGATTTTAATATTATTAATGTGCAGTTATGCTTTGTTGCATTGAAATTTTTTTTTTCTTTCTTTTTTTATCGGCATTTAGATATTTTGCTAATGTTATTTTTATCTGTCAATACGAATATCTGTCAATATGCATATGCATACATACATATATGTTTTAATAATTCGTTAAATTGTTATTATTACAGTATGTAATTCATAGGAGTAGTGTATGTTCTCGTTAATTAATGATGTATTGAGCTTATTGATTCGTGAAAATGGAGGATAATTGGATAAAGATTTTAGTAGAATTTAGTAAAATATTTTATCTTCCTAAGATATGTTTCAACATCGCTAATACACGTACTATAATGATTATGCCATTAGAGAAATGTAGTTAAATGTTGATTAGAATTTTATTGCTTTTTCATATTGATAGTAATGGTATTATTATATTTCTTGAAAGTTTTCTTTTTTTTTATTTATTAATTTATTTTATTTTATTTTTTTTTTTTTTTTTATTTGTTTGTCTGTCTGAATTTTTCTTCTCTTTTCTATATTCCTATTTTACTATTTTGTCTCAATTTAATTTTATAAATTTAATAAATTTCTTAATCGCATACATAAAGAGAACAATAATATTTGTGATTGCCACATGGAATTCAGTAAATTTGTTGCTAAAAGCGGGCTACGAAGTACAGACAAGTGAAGTAACGACAAGAAATCGGAATAATGTTTATTTCTTGACTAATTTTTACTTTATAATTCGATTTATGCCGAACAAATTTACGGTGATTTTTAAGTACTAATAAAAAGTTGCTGTTAGCGCATAAATATCTGCCAAAGCAATTAATTTCTGGATTGAGTGAACTTTATAATTTCATACCTCATGACATTAAGCGTTAGCTCGATCATTTTATAATATATATATATATATATATATATATATATATATATATATATATATATATATAAAAAAAAATTATCTATATATACATACAATATAAGGAAAAATCATCTTTAATTACATTCATAATTTTCAACCATCGTAGCATTAGTCACAAAGTACTTGTATTTAGGCTGAGGCACCTACCGATGGTACAACACCATACATATCGGCAACAGCGGTGACAACACGCACAGCCACGATGCACGAGGATCTCGAAAAGAACCAAAAGACAAGTCAGGTGCGTTACAATTCTCATAACTGGCATATTTGCGCGTAATACGCTCGATCGTAGTATTTTCTTTTTCTTTTTCTTTCTTATTATAGTCGTAAGAAATTATATTTTTCGCAGATTGCCATTGTAAAATAACTCGTATTTAGTTACGTTGTAGCGATAATATTTATGTAAACATCTGCGTGAGTGTGTGTGTGTATATATATATATATATATATATATATATATATATATATATATATATATATATATACACACACACACACACACACACACACACACAAACAAACACAGAGTTATATTTCGTTAGAAATTTACATCGAGTCACTTGAATTTAAAATGTTTTTAATCTCGTACGTTTTGATAAGCAATGATTTTTATGTTTCAATATTAATTCAAATATCAAAGTATTAGAGAACAGGCCGAGTAAATGTATCTTTATCGCATTCGACTGCTCATTTTGTTAATTGAAACTTTGGCTTAGTAGCTTGTTACTTTTGATTTTTCGCATTAGGTCGAAGAAAAGACCGTAGCGCATACAACAGCAACAAGCGCTACCAGGCAGGAACAACGCACCGTGACACAGGAAGTCAGGACTACGAGTCACGTGCTCTCCGGAGAACAGGTAAGTCTTGTAATTCGGCCGTTTAAGGGAAAATTTTTCTTTCGTGATTATTATATGATTAGATGCATGTATATGTTTGCGTCTCAACTTGCCTCTCAACATCCGACGAGCAACCAAATTCTATATTCACGATTTTATTTGTTTTCTAGTTATATGTTGTTAATTTTATTGGATGAAAGCACGTGTGCTACATTTAAGCTCAAATACTTGATTAGCCAATGTTATCCTTTTACATTTAAATATTATTTAATACAAAAAAAGAGAGAGAGAAGAAGAATAATAAAATTTAAAAAAAAAAAAAAAAGAGAGAAGACTGTGATTAAAAAGAAAATCCATTGATTTTAATGGATCGTTATCACTGGTGAGAATTAATAAGCTTCTGACCCTTGCTTAAGATATTCGCAGCAGTCTTATCTTATCAGAATCTCATCAAGCACAGAGTTATTTATAAATAATAAATACATTTTACGCATATAAAAACTAATATCATTAATTATTATTATAATTTTTTTGATTGTTTGTTTGTTTTTTTTCTTTAAATTCATGGCTTAAATCATTACACGTCAACAAACGTAGATAGATTAACAGTTGAAGTTTTGGAAGTTAATCGAAGATTAACAGACCCATTCGTAAAGATTCTCATTATTATTTTCTGCCAATTACATTTATTTAATTGAACATTATTAATTTCGATGGCTTGGCTAACGCATTGCATGATGTAGCTGTTTTCACGACGCCTCAGTACATCGAGTTCAAGCAGTTGCGATTCCGGAACACCGATTGATCTCGATGACGATCAACAGGCTTTCTGCAATCAATATTACCAGGTAATTACATCAGAGTGATCTAATCAAGTCATAATAATTGTCGATAATACATACCAGGGAATATCTCATACTATTAATATTGCCTGGGATACCGGCCAATCACCAATAATCGACTAATATTAAATAACATCGATAGACAGAAGTTTTAAATGTCATATACCATTAACGACTTTTTTTTTGTACTAATTTGTAATAATTATAATTTAAATGATTAGCTCTTTATGCAAAAATAATTTTATCAAGTTATACAACTTTAAATATTTTTTACTCGATGCATTTATTACAAGCGATTGAGAATAAATTATAACGGTCGTATTAATGATACTTTGATTATTTAACAATTTTTAAATAAAACTTATGTAGGTTCTACTGTTTCTCTGGTACATCGGCCCAATTACCGATGACTAAATAATTAAAAACATACCATAGATTTGGGTTAATTGTTGACGATGCATAATTTTAGCTGAATACTGTTGTTAATGGTATTTTTAATTATTAACTGACATATCGTCTACAGTTTGATTAGTGTTGTGTAGAGAATAAATCAATTGTTAATAAATTAATATTAATTTGATAAATAATTGACAAATTATGATATTTTTTTTTTTTTTTTTATTGTCTGTTTTATTATGATAATAAAACAGAAATTATTATATTCCTTAATAATTTCAATTATTAATGATCTCTGACTAAGATTGAAGTCTTATTTAAATTTACGATATTTTAGTGTATATTACAGAGAAATATTGTTTTTTTTTTTTTTTTTAATAATTACGCGGTTAAATGTCATGTATAAAGATTGTATTTAATATGTATGTCTTTTATTTATAAAACAATCATCATCAATTTAGAGCTATTGGATAAGACTACCTTTTTAATTACGAATCGTAATAAGATTGTCAAAATTATCAAAAATCTAACTTACAGTTGCAGTAATGTGTTGCAGAATTTTGTTTATTAAAAAATTAATTGAATCTAACAATGAATTTGGATATTAGTTTTACTAACGGCAAGAAAGGCCCATCTCTATCGAAATACATAAGTCAACTAATGATTTTAAACAATCTTAAATATTACGATGCAACTAGAAAAAATATAACTAGAAAAAAATGTGATCGGTAGCAATATTTTTTACTATCAGCTACTATTAAGATATTGATAGAAGATGACAAACACTTGGTATTCGTACAAGACTAAGCATTGACAATTATTAATATTATTAATGTGTGACATTGCCAAATGGATTACGTTAAATAATTTATTATTCGAATTTAATATTATTTAACATTATTTAACGATAAACTAAAAATAATAATAATAATAATAATAATAATAATAATAAAATAATAATAATAATAATCAACAATAAAAGAATCACAGATAACATCGCGAATAACATTTATATTGACATCATACGATATGTGTACTTACCACGATCATGATTCACAAGACATTTATAATTACAAACTTTTAACATAAGAAATTGCAACAAACGTTTGGAAAAATGGAAACGTCAACTTAATAATGTCTGGTATAGTATTCCTACAATTTGTTATATTCTTTTAATAATCATTTGTTTGACCAAAGTCTTAATTTTATCGAGTCGCGTGATTATAATCAGCTAATCAAGAGCTGGAACGTGAGCATTTTGCACTCAGGTAAGTTATGGATGATTTTCAAGATTATCGATCGTATTGCATTCATGATTTTGTGCAAAATATATATTTTATTTTATCCCCTCCCCCTCCCGCAGCTCAGAGCATAAAATAATATATGATGTTACGAATAAAAGTAATTTTTCATAATTTTAAATACAAATGCATGGACTTTACTTAAAAATGATACGAATACTTTACCAATAATTATTACATCTACTTAAATAGCTTCTGAGAGAAACGAGTTTAATCTGTCGAGTGTCTTTTTTTTATATAAATAAAAATCTATTTCAAATTCTATGATTAAACTTTGATCTTTCATTAAGCCGCTTCTTTTTCACAATTTCACTTGGATTTCTCAAACAAACCTATCGAATTTTTTTAAATCCACGGATATTTCTGATGCTACTTATTTCATAAAATATTTAAAATAATAACGATCGCTTGTCTACATAAATTATACGATATACTCTTAAATTCTGAACTATTTTCACAATTGAGTACGTCACTCCGTAGTATTTTTGATTTTTGACGTTAATTTTCAAGGAAACTGATTATAGCTTACATTAATTATTTCAATTAAATCTCCACATGTGTCTTTGCAATGTATTGTTGGAACTATATTTAATTCTCATACATTTTGCAGTCGAATGATGAATAATTCATTTTAGTAATTGTAAATATAAATTTACATCGTATTAAAAAAAAATAATAACATTTGAAATGTAAATGATTGTTATAGTATCATATTTTTGTATTGAAAATTATTACTTTTTATGTATCTTCATTTATTATAAATCCCCTTGTTTTTTTTTTTTTTTTTTTTTTTTTTTTTTTTTTTTTAATTTCAATTGGAAAGTCATTTTATTCAGCTTTGATGCACTTATTACGAAGATTACATTACGAAGAATCCATTTACATTATTAACCATTCATCCATAAGCGTCCAAAATTCTATATTAACTAATTTTTGTATGCTTATTATTTTTGCATTTTTATAATATCACATAATTCATACGAATAATAATAATAAATATAATAGAAAATGATATAATGTTACTCCCCTTCATTATCTTCGATTAAACGCCATTATATTTATACACTAAATGAATTTTAATTCGTTTTACTGAGATATTATTTTTGTATTAGTATGAAAGCTATTCTTCTGGCAAATTAAAAAAAATCTCTTATATTTTAAGACATTTGAGAGCCCTTGAATAATTAATAATTCCGGTTATATATTCTAATTTTCTAATAATTGAATACTCTTTAATAACAATATAATATTACAAAAAAAAAATAAGTAACAATATATTAGAGAATATTAAATGAAGAAATGCAATTATGAAAATGTGAAGATCTTATAGGATCTATTGAAGATATCGGATGTAATATGCACGATTATCATATCAAATGCTTTCTACATTTTTTTACGTTTTCAAATCTGTGAAAAAGTCTATTTTTGCCTTTTATTTAAAAAAAAAAAAAAAAAAAAAAAAAAAAAAAAAAAAAAAAAATTTTTTGTTAATCGTTGTATAAGAGTGAATTCAAATTATGTTTAACAGCTTGTAAAGATAATTAGTTTAATTATTAAAAAGTATTTTACAAACAATGAAATCACTTTCTTTCTTTTATATATATATTTACATTTTTTTTTTTTTTTTTTTTTTTTTTTAAAAATTTTTAAAAAAACTTTGTTATCTTAACTAGATGTAAATAACTTTGTTATCTTAACTAGATACTCGATTATATATGTCGGCACTAATGTCGACATTTATAATATAATATTCAGCTATTATACAATGAAAATTCACACTTAAACACATATAGGTAATAATAATGCTCGGTAATTCACATAAATTTGTACAAATGTTTCCACTTCGAAATCCGAGTTTAATCTATTGCTTATTGCCATTATCGCGTATTGTGATTATATATTTTTTATTGCCTTTTAGGGAGATCCAGCTGGTGTAGTCGCGACTGAAACGCAGATCTACACGGGCGAACCTGAGAATAATGTGACGGCAACAACAACAGTACCATTAGTAGGGACAGAATCGAGGAAAGTGGCAATAGAAAGCGAAGATGGCAATTATAGCGCAAGTGGCGAAATCGTTAGTTCGCAAACGATTTCCAGTAAAACTCGTACAGTTGAAACGATCACAGTAAGTTTGGATTACCTTTTATCGCGGATGCACTAGAACTTTATTTACTTTTTTGTTTTTTATTAATATATGGTATGGTGCATATGTGATAAGGCCAATTTCTTTAATAAAAAAAAAAGAAAAAAAAAGATACAATTAATATTATTATTTATTTATTTATTTATTTTCTTTTTTTTTCTAATAGAGAACCTTATTGATTTGAATAAAGAGTAATTTTAAGTAAAATGGCATTGCGTGATTTCTATCTATTAAATTGTAATTTCGATTGAAATGTTTCTATTGGAGTAGTCGATGATTTTATGGTATTGTAAAAGTATGCTTAAAATTTATTAATTTTTTAATAAATTGTTTGTTCATTTGCCGTAGTATAAAACGGAACGAGATGGAGTTGTTGAAACGCGAGTTGAACAAAAAATAACGATACAATCGGACGGAGATCCAGTTGACCATGACAAAGCTCTCGCGGAAGCTATTCAGCAAGCAACTGCAATGAACCCAGACATGACTGTTGAGAAAATCGAAATTCAACAGCAAACAGCACAGTAATCTTGTAAATTTAGAGAATGTGGGGTACCCTATCTATTAATTAAACGAGTCTTAATTTCTAAGACTAAAAATGTACTATCAACAAAAAAAAAAAAAAATATATATATATATATTTATATAATTGTGATTCCCACAATTGCAATTTGTGTTCATGTTCAATTGAAATGCCTCTAATGATACATATAATACATTGATCTAACGATATTCATGGTAAAATATTATTAAACGTGAAAGAAAAAGAAAGAAGTGGGCGAAGCTATTTTGGTTCAAATCTTGATTGGAAATCGAGAAAAGATATGCATTTGCATTTTCGCGATGAATTACATTCAATAAATATGGAAATCGTTTGCATGGCAAACATATATACAATATAAATTATACTACTTAAACGTACTATATACATACAGATATACAGATATATAATGTCCATTATAACGTATTGAAGTAAAATACATTGATAAATATAAAGAGACGGGTACCCTGCACTCTATGCTGAAAAAATAATAAAGACTTTTGTAAATGTGAGCAATAGAATTGCTTACACGGCGTAATTATACATAACTATATCATAATATTACTTTTAATGGATAAAATTATAAAATTGATTATAAAATTTAATTCAAATTTCTACTTTAGATTGTAAATTTCTTCTACGTAAATTAACTCTTCCATGCTTCAGCTATTTTTTTTTTTTCCTTTTTTTTTTCCTTTTTTTTTCTTTTCTTTTTCTTATCATTATTTTTAAAACCATAAATTGTATCGTGTTTATCAAATGAAATTGATTTTTCACCCACACGTTTTTATTGTATGTGTGAAATCCGATGTGATCTAACGTAACAATTGTAACTTTGTTGCGAAATTTGCCTGTATAGTACGATTACACTGGAACAATGAATATTTTGATACTTGGAAGAAATATATACCGATTTGAAAGCTAAAGAGTCAGAGGTATCTGGATATGAAATATTAATATATTATACATAGTATATATACATACATTTACATATGTGCGCCCGCGCGCCATCTCGCACACGGACACGAGCACACACATTATATATAAAAAAAATAAATAAATAAATATACTTAGGCAATGAGAGAACATACAAATTGTCACCATTTTCTAAAATCTATACTAGAAATGAAAATTAGCGATTAAAGATAAAGAAGAATAAATAACCTTAATCATTAAGAAAATGATGTAAATTTTATTGTTTTATGCAAATTATTAGCTATTATTACGATTAATTATAATAAATTAATAAATTATAAATACAATTACATAGAATAGCAGTTATGCTTTGGTCAGCGTATATGTCTAAATTTAGCAATAGAATGTGTAGCTTTAGATCTACATATTTTTAAGAATTTTGGTTGATTTAAATGTATTTTACTTTGTTTTAATATAATCCATCCATATAAAGCAGCTACGCATTCAATAAAATAATTTCTCGTATTAATTTTAAACGAATGATGTTATTGCATGGAGTTAAAGGAAAAGGAAAACTAATGAAGTGAAAAGTGTCTTTACAAAGTATACTTTTGATGCTGCAATAAATTAATTATTAATTTTGTTATTTTATGATTATTCAAATAAATCATATATTAAAATTAATACTCATTTAAGGATTTATTTTTATTTTTTTCATTCATTCATTGAAGCTATCGATTAAGTAATACGTGACTTTTATAAAATACACAATGATAAAACTTGCATTTTATAATTTAAGTAAATTAATAATCTATCTCGCTTCTCTAAGTTTATTGATTAGATAATTATTATTAGCATTTCCAATGTGGCCTTGCCCTCTATAATATTATATACCAAATTTAATTTTAATAATTTTAATTTTTCCTACTGTTTCTTTTTACATTTATAACATTCCACCTTTAAAGTAATTTTGTATCATAATAATCCATTGTATTATTGAGTTGTATTTATTAGCCTACACTATAGAAACTCTAGATTCGCTAAAATATTCTAAGCGCTGGTATAATTATTAAGATTGCCCACAAAGTATTTTATTTTTTGTAATAGCACTTCATTTAAACGAAATATATGAAATAGAATTAGCGATAAATTGTCGTTAACTAGTGTAAAAACGTTATTTGTAAGTTTCTATTTTGTCCTTGAAATTTAATATTTCTATTTAAATAACAATTTATGATATATTGTAATAGGCATTTGTACTAAGTAAAATATCATCTTTTCCAAAACTAATATCTCTATTTTGTATGAAATTAAAAAATAATAATAATAATGACTGTTCTCCCAAAAAGTCCTTTTTCATTGTAACATTATGATTTTGTGATTCATTTTTTTTTTTCCAATTATGAAAACAAAATATCAGATTATATTTAAACATATATACACGTACACATAATGTGTATATATATATATATATATATATATATATATATATATAAAGGCAGTATTGTTTGTGTAATTTTTATTTGATGTAATATAAAGGTTAACGATGTAACAACTTATCGTCATATAAAACGTTATTTCACATTTTGTGTTTCCAAAATGGACGAGGCAGAACGCGATTATTCTTTAATCCTTTAACAGATAATGCTGAAAAAAATACATTTCTACAATAATAACGTTTGAAAATGTCTACTCGCTTCAATTATATACGAAATAAAGAATTTACTTGATTTCCAAGGTGGAAAGATTTGCGATTGTGAATCTCCTATCATTGAAATGTCCGAGAATGAAAATTTTGGATTAATATTGTGAAGCATTGCCCTTGTAATTGATCTTCTAAATGCTGGCGGTAAGTTCAAAGTATCTGAAAATAACGTTAATTTAAAAGTTAAATGGCCTTTAATGATATATTATTGATTATTGTGGGGAGGATTTTAAAGTACATACGAGTAATATCTTCGCTTAAAGTGAACGGTGACTTTTTTTTGGACTGATTAAGTCTTTCATATTTAAATTTTTTAAGAAAATCTCTCGAATTTTTCGTAACAAGTTTCTGGTCTAAATAAGCTGCAATCAATTGTGCAATATTATATTGATTTTCATCGTGTAGCTAACAAAAAAAAAAAAAAAAAAAAAAAAAAAAAAAAAAAAATTACATATAAATAACTTGCTTAAGGAATGGCTACTGGCAATAACATTTTCTCGATATCGGTAGATTTTTGTTACTGGATTTCCTTCCAAAAATAAATTTTCCAATGCGTCTAGAGTGTCAACGGTCGTATTCAATTCTTCAAGGTTATCGATCAAGTTATACTGTGCTTCCAAAGTTACTAATTTTTTAAAATTGTTTATGCCGTTCAATGAAACCATATGATTATCCGAGACGTTTAAATATACCAGGCAAACCTTGAAATATAATTTACATATGAATTTTATTATTTGTTGATTAAATGTATAAATGTTAAATAAGTAAAATTACGGATAGAGTGTTTGCCGTTTTTGGATCGATAACTAATCTCTCGTCTAGAGGTAATTTTTGCTTTTCAATATGCAAGTCTGATAAATTTGACAGATTTTCCAAACCTTCAATTACGGCAATTCTATTGTATCCCAAATAAAGCTTCTTGAGATTTATCAGACAATTGAGATTTTGAATTTTCGTGATATCGTTGTGTTGCAAATAAAGATGCGTTAAATTTGTCGCAAAATTTAGATTTTTAATCTTTTTTATAAAGTTTCTTTGCAGATAAATGACTTTCAAATTCCTACATATACTAAAATTATTCTAAAATACCAAATTATAAATTTATAAGTTTTTAATAATAATAATAATTTAATGTTCTATTAAATTACGTTATCGTATAATAATATCGTTTACTCACAATTTCACAAATGAATTGTTCATTCATAAACAAATGCGTTATCTTCGTCAGGCAATTTTTTTCCGCATCTTTTAAGAATGACTTGTGTGATTGGTGTTGCATATATTTTCTTTTAATTAATTTTACAGTTAATTCGACCATTGCAATATTTCACAATAACGGCAAGAGGAACCGGAACCTTTCACCATATTCAACTAGCTTCGCCGTATGCGCCATAAAAATCGTAATATATTGTTATATTTGCCAGCAAACATCGAAATTGAACGTTCGTTCATTCCAGTACGTATGAGAATTTTGTAACCCAAAGCAACCGATTGATTAAATCGATTTAAAAGAGATGGGAAAAAATATTGAACGAATCGTTCATTATGGAGGCCTACTAATCGCATCGCATCGCATCGCATTCATCTTAACTTAAACATTAGACAAAGAGATAGTAAAATTGTTTGGTAATTTGATTTGTTAAAGCCAATAGCCCTGTAAAGTGGCATATTATCGTTTGGTCCTCCTATTCAATGCCAATTGATAGCACGAACTTGTAAATCCAATTTGAATAGCGTTTAAACTCTACATTCGCGCATCTTTGAAGTTCATACTGTAGTACTGTGCATCACATCGCTTGTATATTCTTCTACGGCATTTGGTATTCCGGTTCCGGTACGGTAATGATACCCCATGATTCACCGACGTAATAACCAAGTCAACAAGCCGTACCGTACACGTACTTGTTTGCTTGTTTAATATATTTAAAGGACGTAAATTCCAATGACTATGGATGTAGATTTATTGAGGCCAGGGACGGTACCGATATCGCCCGATACTGTTTTATGGTTTGAATTTCTTTTAAATCCATCATTGTTGCATAGCCATATTTCAAAACCATCACCTGGTATGTTATTGTTTTTATAACCTTATTTTGAATTTGAGCATTTTTCGAGCATTTTTTCTTTTAATGAAATTCATAACGAATAGTATAATATTCGTATGACGAGGCACAAAATTATTGGCAATTTTGCTGTACGAGTGTACGGTAATTGTCTTTTTTTTTTTCCTTTTGCCAAATATAATCTAAAGAGATTTTTGTGGTATTTTGTTGCGATGAGCATAAGATTTAAAAGGTAATAAGTGACATTTAACAAAACTTTACAGATCCATCGCCAACTGATCTTATTATAAAATTCATGACCATAAACGCAGAGCAAAACAATGATGTCAAAGTCATTGAAAATGATGCAAACGATTTGAAAATAAATGTTATGAGCAAATGGACCTACAAGAATTTGGCTCTAAAAATTCTTTCGTTAAAAGTAGCCGCGTATCTGAAATGGGATTTGGAGTTGTTGCAAAAGAAATTACCTTTGCAAATGCAATTAACATTGTTGCAAGATTTATTTTACATAGCCATGGATATTGTCGTGGAGATACCAATAGTTCCAGAAAATGCGCCAAATAATATTTCAGATCGAGATTTATTTACATTAATATTATATCACAGATGGTTATTGAGAGCTATCGTCTACAGGGCTTTAAATAATAAGCAGCCAAAGTTATTCGTTCATAAGTAAGGGAAAATAAATTTATCTGCGAAATCGACGTAAGAATTATTTTTTTATTTAACAAAGTTAATTTTACCTTTACAGCGCAGTGATTCAGGAGACAAATTATGTAGCCTCTACGATAAACGATGAAATAATAAGAAAATTAGAATTACACGCGACAAACAGTATTAATTTTTTAAATACAGTTTTGCAATTGAACGATTTGAAGCCTAAGGTTCTTTCATTGGATACCTTTCAAATGTTAACGGAAAATAGCACTGAAATAAAGCAAAATTGGGATAGCGTGCATAGTATAACGGAAGACGAGTTAAAATGCCAGGTGAGATTTTTGACTTATCGATTGCTAGCTCTGATTTATCTATTATCGTCCACTTTGTCATCTATTTGACCATCGTCTACGTTGCTTTTATAATGAGATATTCAAATTTTCTGTAGGTGCATTATGATCTTGCGGTTTTTCATATCCTTAAAGCAGAATATCAAACGGCAAAGTATCATATTAGTCAAGCCAGGGACTTGTACAATAAGCTCGATACTTCAACGCCAATGTTATATTGTAATATTAATAAGCAATACTTGGACGGATACTGTTTAGCTTGCGAAGTGCCTGTTGAAAATAAAGCACCAAATCTTACGCAACAGTTGCTTACGTCTATCAAAGATCAATACACAGTACGTATTTTGACAATTGCATTTTATGGATAAATCAAGATACACTATATATGCATGTGTGTGTAATACATTTAATTTCTAGAATATCTTACAAATCTTACAAGCGGATAATATAGTGAGAGAAATTCCGCAAGTCTACAGAGATAATTTAGAATTAGATATCCAGGGTGGCTTAGTAAATAGGAAAATAATTGTCGCACGCGATTTATTATTACAGATTCAGTGCCTTAATCTCGTTCGAAAAGTTGTAGAAAATGAAACGATTATTGGAGATTATGTTTCAGAAATCAAAGCTGCAGGATCCAAAGGATTAGAAGTATTTTTTTGGGTAAGGTGTGTGCGCGTGCGTGTATGCGTCAGTGCGTCAGTGTGTGTGAGAAAGCTGCATAACACGTAATGAAAAAATATTTATTGATCATAGATTTTTTGTAGGCATTTAACGGAGTGCTTGAAAAATCATCGGCTCTCGATAAACAAAGAATCGTTCGTCATTTGTTATATCTTGTTTTAATGCGAGATATCGATGGTCTTGCCAATAAAATTTTAACCGATGCTAATTATGCTAGCCTGTTCGACGCCACCGAACTCGAGGAAATCAAAAAGGAAGCATTTCCCGACGATTTGGATATTCCAAATTTATTATTAAATAACGATTGGGGTATTGCTCCCGTTGACTATACACGTAAGTGGAATTTAATACGCTCCCGCTTGACTTTCCATTCCATGTAAAATGTAATATCATGTATTGTAATTGTGATGTTTAGAAAAACAAAAAATAGGCATATTTGAATTAGAGCAACGGCTTATTTTATCGTATAATCCGCATGAAATCCGGCAAATTCTTATGGAAATTGTGCGCATCGACAATTCAAGTTATGTAAAACCACAATGGCGAATCAATAACTTTTGGGAAATACCGATCCCTTTGCAAAGTGTTATATCTTCTATACCGGAAGGTTTTCTAAAAGATTATTCCTACATTTTACTGGCAAAAAGTAAAGAGCTTGCGTTGGCCAAAGACTTCCCTGGATCAAAAACATTACTCAATATAGTTGAAAACGAAGTGCAACATCACGCACAAAGCTTAAACGAAGCTAATAAACTTCTCATGGGAGGCAATAATTTAATATTTAAGCTATTGAAGCTCCTAAATTGGGAATCTTTGTTGATTGAAATATGTTATTATTTGCATGCTTGGCCCGCTACTAACATATGTAAGTAAATTTCATTAACCGAGCATCTTAATTTTGTTAATCGACCTCGTTCCAAATATCAATCGATGAATCGATCGATCAATACCCATCGATTTACTCAATGATTGAGACGATTGCGACATCTGTCGATTGGTGCAGCTTATCGATTAAGATATTATGCATCGTATTATCATCCGATACATCCCAAATATATAAAGTATCTATTATTCCCCAGGCGACACCCAAGCTGTGACGGTACAATGCAAACAGTGCCTACTTACCCTCCAATCGACCGATCAAGTATTACCTAGACAAGAAATTATCGAGTACTGTACAGTTTTTTTATTAAATATGTCGGAGTGGGACTATTTAACCAGCCTGGAGAAACAGTGGAGCTGCTTTGAATTCGCAGCCGCACTGAGTAACGTAGCAAAGTATAAGGGGCAAAAGTTTCCCAAAGAAGCTTGGGACATGGTACTCGCAGCTTGCAAGTCAAATCGTGATCTGCCACAAAAACGTAGTAGCAGTAATAGTGGCTCATCGGGAAATAGTATATCAAGGGATTCCCTAATTAACATATCATCGACTTTCAGTCGATTAAGAGAGCTTACGGTTCTCAATATTTCAATATCCTTACTCGCACGATTGCACAACATATTGCGCGACGAATCGAGCTTAGAGCTTTACACTACGTATTTAAATATGTGGCCCGCTAGCATACCAAAGTAAGCATAATAATCATAATGTTTGTTCTTTTTTTCTTTTTCATTTTTTTTTTTCAACCAACCCAACCGCTTCTGATCTCTGACAATTACTTTTAGCGCAAAACTATATAATATGAGAATTATAAGCGAGTATTTATTTCAATTGTTGTCTCAAGCATTAAAGTATTATCCAAACAACGTACCCTGGCTCAGACTCATGGGGGATCTCAACTTTGGTAGGCTTTACATTCGATTAATCCAAGAGATACGTTACACAAGCTTCGGCTACAGTGCAACGATCAAAGCTCTCACCATTGTCAAACGAGTGTGAGCTCACATGTCATCATATCGGGCCTGTATTTTTATTTATTTTTTCTTTTTTTTTCTTTTTTTTTTTTTTTTTTTTTTT